AAGTTGTAAAGTTAGAATAATGTGTTTGAGAGGCTCGAGAAGAACATTGTGCATTATAAGTTTGTAGTTGATCCCGAAGGAAGCAAATCCGAAGCTTGATTTATGAAACTCGAGAGTCGATGCTTTTTTACATACCCGATTTAGATTATTTTTGTTGTTGTGGATTTTAAATGGTATTGTCTCTGTTTTTGATGAGAAAATAGAAAAAAAATAAAATGGTAGCAGGATCAAAACGTTTTTATTTGAGCATTTTCAATTATGTTCGGACAAAAATGTGAGTAAATTAAAATTCAATTAAAAACACGTGAGTCGTCATAGGATGGGTGAGAAATTTGAGATGAGAATTTGGTTTGCTTATGATAAGCTTCATCATTATATTTTATAGTAATAATAATAACATCATTGTAGTTTTCTTAGATTTGATCTTTTCCCAAACATTAAAGTAGTAAATGATATATGATAGTATATATAATATTACCTTATAAAGAGAATTTAAGGAAAAAAAAACAATTACAAAATCAAGAATAATAAATAACAATCCACAAGAATCCTAACAATCCATATAAAATATTTGATAAGAATCTTTTGAAAATTTTGAAACTCCACAAAGATTTAAAAAATCCACAAATTTTAAAAATTTTTAAAATCTTTACAAATCCATTCCCCAATAATACTCCCTTAGGTTGTCACATTTTTTTTATGTAGTATTCACAGTGACATGATTAATTATATTAGATATTTGTCTACTTTAGTTGTATGATTTTAGTTTCAATTTAGAATTAAAAAACTACACATTTAAAAACTTAAATCATATTTTAATCACTAACACCTTTGAAATAATAAATTATTAACAAAAACGTATTTCCGCGCAGGACGCGGGTACAACACTAGTATATTTGTATTTGTCAAGTTGATTATTAAAATCAATGTATATATCAAGATTGTTCTTCAATATTAATTATACTTGTGTAAACACTTTTTAGTTCAAATAGATTTAGGT